CAATGTAAACATTGAGGTACCAATTGTGGTTATACATGCGTGCGACAATGAGTGCTCCCATGGTGCAAGCATAGCGCATTTTAACGGGTGCCCGACATGTTGCTCACCATGGCCTTTCAGCCAATGCGTGCGCTTCAAAACCAACCATGCCCCCCAGCGCAGAAAAACCCCGCGCCCCGCAATTGCCGCTGCGGCCCAAAAGGCGGGCTCGCTGAGCGCTGAAATGGCGCCCAAGCCTGGAAAGAACAAGGGGGTGGAATCGTTGAGGCGGAAATGCCCGCATGCATCTGCCGCAGCATTGGCTGCGATCTCGGACGAATGCGCACGGGGGCCGTTCTCGGCGCCGCGGAGGGGGGCCCGTGAGGCTAGGGATTATGCCATAAACCAAGCGACGCCGTATGGCACGCTGCTCCATGAGATCACTTGTTCTTCCGTTGATTCAGAGACGAGATTTACGGTTGCCATATCTCTCAGCATTGCTGTGCGTGGCGCGCAGCCGACGCAGTTGTTGGCGGGCCCTCGCCCAGAGCGCGCCGGCGTCAGCGCCGCGCTCATTCGAGCGGCCGTGGTCGTTGATATTGCATACTGACGAAGTGGCACCAGGCAACCAATTGTCTCCAGGAAATTCAACGAATATGTGGCTGTTCTAGGTATCTGTTGTAGGAGTAGGGCCAGAAGTGCTGCCGCAAGAGGACGCGTGGCTCTGCGTTGGGGCTTTGCAGCCAAAACGCGTATCAAACATCGATGCAGGAGTCGCACAGGTATTCAAGTTGTTCATGCAATCTACGCTCTGCAGACCAGTCTGTTCGCTGCGCGCGACGGGCGCTGCAATGGAACAGAGCGCCAGGCTGCATTGCAAGCTCGGGGCGGTTTTCAAGACGGCGGCGCGCAGAAGTTGGTCTGGCCTATGAAAGGCGATGCTGCAACCAAGCGTTGCGTGTCTTGCCGCGGCGCGATTGCGATGGGCAGCTCGCTGGTCGACGAAGGGGGGCGGCCCTGCTGAGGGCAAACGTCGCGCGTGAGCGCGACATCAATTTTGCGACGAATAAAGCCGTCAAGGGGGGGGGGGGGGGGGCGCGGAGGCTGGCTCGGTTCCGCGCTGCGGACGCCAGCGCAGATTTCAAGACCTGCAGGGAACCTGCAAATTCGAAGGAGGAAGATGAGGCGACTGCAGACGCCTCATCTTCCTCTTTCCCCCTTCCATCATCTCCCCGCGGGAGAATGACGAAGGGGGAAGGAGGCGGAATTGGGAAGGTGAGAAGGTGAATGAGCAGCGCGCTGCCCATTCGCCACCTCCAGGACCTGCGAGTAAGCGCTCGGTTTCAACCGCGGCGTGCAGACACCTCTTTCTTGCGGGTTGTGAGAGTGATGGGCTCTCAATCGTATACTCCTGATTCGAAGAATGCATCGGGCTGCGGTCTGTGCCCCGCGCGCGCGGCGGCGCTGACAACTTGGCCGAGCCCAGAGAGGCCGCGACGCGGCCAACGGAAAGGCGAAGGCGTTTAAGTGCCAGGCGAGTGAGGCATTGTCTTCGTTGCCGCTCATGTACACTTATGTGATGAAGGTGCTATTTCCGATGGGGGTCGCACGCATGGAGTGCGTCGCGTTTGCTCGTTTGCGTGATTTGGTGCGGCGCGCCGAAGCTGCAGCATCAGGCCGCGCGTCTGCCGACGCTCTCAAAGACAGGGCGAACGCGTTTCTAGATGCCTGCGCAGCAGCCCAATGGCAGGAATACATGACACCGAAGTTTCATTGGTTGACCCATTCCCCGGGGCATCTGCTCAAGTTTGGATACCTTCTTTCGTGCTTTGTACACGAGAGAAAGCACAAGGTTCCGACACGGTTTTGCAATGATATGCGCCAGCTGGAAGCTTCAGCAAGGAGCGTGCTGTCCGAGGCCAGATGCTTGAATTTGGCGACCTTGCGTAGCACCGACGCGTTCGATTTCTCGCCACACTTGCTGAACCCCAGGGCGGCGCCTAAGAAGATGCACGCCCTCCTGGAAGAGAAGGTCGGACATCGTCTCCCGCCGGGCTCCGCGACCACGGCTCTGAGGGCTCGCGTGTCGTCGCTGTCGACCTGCCAGTCTCGTGACATCGCGTTGCTTTCTACTGGCAATGACAAGGCGGTGGGGGAGGTATGGTTTCACGCTGCAGTCAATGGAACGATGGTGTCGCTTGTTTCTGTCTCGGACATCACTCGTCACGATGATCGGCTCGGCGTGTTGACCGTGGTACCAACCGGCGACGACGTGCAACTGGTGCACTCGACCGACATCGCCACCGCCAAGGCGGAAGCGGTTGCAAAGATTCGAAACCATGACCACCCTTACTATACGGGCGTGTCACATTCAAACAAATGCCAGCGCTTGCACACGTGCGACCGTGAAAATGCATGGTGGATATGTGCGATGCGTGGACCGTCCGTTGTGGTTTCGTTAAGGATTCGAAACCTTGCAAGGCATGCAGACGAAGTGGAGGCGGATAAATTGCGATTGTTCAAGTGGTACTAAGTCGTGTGAGCTGCCGACTGGGTTCTTGTGCGCAGCGACGCATGAGATTGTGCACTCGCAATGTGTGGATGCGGCTCGATGTGCGCCTTGGATATTTTGCAGCTGAATATGCATTGGCTGCACACCGACATGCATGTGCTTGCAACTAAGTTGCATCACCTTAGCGAAACTTGTAAGTTTCAGCAAATGACTTGCTAAGTCCGCTAACTGTTGCAATCCCCCAACTTCACTACAATGGGGGGGAAGGATTCGAACCAGTAGTGACCCCTCCCCCGTTTTCGGGAGGAGGGGTTGGGGGGGGTCGAACTTGTAGTAACCCCCCCCCCGGGTTTTCTGGAGGGGGAGGGTTAGGGGAGGGCTGGGGTTCTGCTGGGGGGAAGGGGGGAGGAGGGGGGGGCGGGGGGTTCCAGCAAGGGGGGGGGGATTTTCGGAAGGGGGGGGGGCCCCCAGGCTCCGGAGGAAGAGGGGGGGAATTTTCCACAGTAAAGCGGCGGTGGATCACGCTTTCCCAACTAAATTGAAACGCCGTTCAAACTCGAACCGCTCGATAGTTTGGGCACTTTTCAGACAACGCGTTCTTCAATGCTGTGACGGTACTGCCGGATTTCGGTCACCCCTGCGCCTGGGCAAAATATCTCATGCCAGCCTTATGAAAAAGCGCCCACCACGCAAGCACCGAAAACACAATACATAAATTTATGTTTGACGTGTCTTGTCGGAGCGGTTTCGCCCATTCCGCAGACCGATGATGTCTCGAAGATGTTTCGAACATGCTTCGATGAAGAGCGAATGCATTTCTTCTGAGCTGAAAAACAATTTGAAACATGCGCGAGGCTCACGCGCGTCACAGCTCGTGGGACACGGACAAACACGAGTGAGACGTGCGCCGATGGCCTCAAATGGCCGTTTCGCTCGGGACATTTTCGGCCAATCGACGTCCGAGGGGACCCTGAATGTCAAAAACTGAATTTCGCTCGGTACATCTTTGGCAACTCGGCTCCGGAGAGGTCTACGATTAAAAAAAAAAAAAGTTTCGCTAAGGACATCCTGGACAAGGGAGCCTCCGAGGGGACTCCGGATCTCAATAATGATGGTCTCGCTCGAGACATCCTCGATAGTCTGCATCAGAAAACGCTTCACCCCCCCATGGGAAGCGATCATGGCCCCCAATTGGTAACCACACTCGTCGAAACAACATTCCCAACCCGCACTGATTGCAACATCTGCGTGCAAACTTCCCCCCCGGGGGGGCCTGCCGTGTCTCCCGCTCTGCGGGCTCAATTCAGGGGGCCCCCTGCGGACCCTCGCCGTGGTGTAAATCCAAGGGTAGACGATGAGTTGATGGTGAAATGGAGGAGAGTGAGATGGCAGAAAGCATGCTAAAGGGGGCCTCGCGCATTCCGCAAAGCAGCCGCACCTCCATTCTCCGTTCGACACGTGAAAATATGTGTGATCTGCGTTTTCAGGCCCCTGGCGCAAGTAACAATAAGAGTGAAATGCGCCTCCAAGCTCCTGGGAGACATGCGAATACTGATAACTGAGACTTTAACGCTCATGGGCGCCTCAGTTCGGCACGCCCCTCTCCACATTTCGTACATCATGGGCGCCCAGCTGGCCCCCCAGACGGCTCTACGGAGTCTCAATTCGGCACGTCCCTCACGCATTTCGTGCCCCACGGGCGTCTAGGGGCAATCCGATGGCGCTCGGGACGGCTGAAGGAAGCCTCAAGTCGGCACGTCCATCACGCACGTTGTGCCTCGGGGTTCCCAGCGGACTCCTCAGACGGTTCAAGGGAGCTTAGTTTCGGTGCACCCTCACGCACTTCTTGTCCCATAGGCCCCCGAAAGCCTTCAGTTGGCCCTCAAGACCGCCTAACCCCAGAGGGAGGGGACGGCAAGATGGAGCCAAGAAACGTTGGAACGATTGGTAACGACCCTCGTCGAGAACGTACCACGAACACCCACTGATTGCATTATCGCGCGTACGGCCGATGGGCCCCGAAAGCATTCAGTGCACCCGCATTGTGCTTTCGATCTGTACAAGCACAACAGGTTTGCGGTAGGGGGGAGGGGGGCGTCCGGGACACGTTAAAATACGCGCGATCTGCGTCAGAGGGCCCTGAGAAACATAAACAACGTGATGATGGGTTCGCAACTCTACTATCTCGAGGCCTCAACTCGACATGCATCACCCGCATTCTGGTTTCGTTACGTACATACAAATACAATACGTCTGCGCTGGGGGGGGGCTGCTGGGACAAAATACGCGCGATCTGCGTCAGGGGGCGCGGACACACATAAAAAAGTGATCGGTTCGCAGCCCAATTTTCTCATAGCTTCTATTCGACACACCCCTGACGCACTTTGTACACTAAGATCCCAGCCATGTCCAAGTTGCCCACCCCTCACGTGCTTCGCTGCCTGTGGACTGTCAGAACCTCGCAACTGGCGCTGAGAACAATTGGCAAGAGCCGCAATCCACCGCACTCCTCACTCACCTCTTTCCACAGGTTCCCCAGGATGCGCTCAGCTGGCCTCCAAGAGGCGTCAAGCAAGTCAAACATATCCGAAGAAGCCAGTCGCACGCTCTAGCGTGGCGTCGCTTCAACGAATGGTGGGTGTTCTTCAGGATGGCCCGAACACCTCGCAAACGATACAACAATGTCCCAGCAAACTCACTCAAAGAAGGCCCAGATGGACCCAACAGAAACTTGCAACGACTGGTACCGATTATGGTCGAAACCGCACCCCGAACAACCATTAATCACGAGCTGGGTGGATCTGGGCTCTCAGGACAGTGCCCACTTGCACCGAGTAAGCGACGAATCTGACTTTGAACGTTCGACATGTCCCCACGGCCCCGTGAGGACGTGAAACAATGACGAATCTTGGCCGATTACTCATCACATCTCAAATACCTGGTTGACTGCGTTGAAGAGAACACCTGGAGCACGCCCGCGCAGTCATCTGCAAACTTGACTCGAACGAAGGACTGCGCCCGACAAATCTGTACGGTCATGACAACGGGGATCCAACCTGAAATAGGGGGGAAACAAACCTACCTCGCTTTTGACCACCCTCGCTTCCAAGAGATACCAAGCGATGCCACATTGCAGCCTGTACTGGTCAGGCCGCTTGACGAGGAGGCGCGTGGTATGGCTTGGTTTTGCTTGGAAGCGAAAGCGGGGGAGGTAATTCACGCTCTGATTAAAGGTACACACAAATCCAGGCACCAGCAGCGTTCCGCCTGCCGTTCTTGGCGCGAGTGCGACACGACGCCGTGCAAGAATCCAGCCGCCCTCGGAAACCAAACCCGAAAGGTGTACTTGGTCAAGACGTCGCTTGGTGCGCAAGCTCGGCGGCCGCATGCGCGCGCGGATCATCGGCCGATTGGCCGCTCTCGCTATTTACACGCTTGTCCCGCTCACCTATGTTTCCAATCGGTTCCGAATTCCTAGAACCAGCTAGGCATCCTGAGCGCCGAAGCCCCTCAAGTTTTGCAAACCAAGCGTTTCGCTAGAGACATCCTTGAAGCTTCGTCGCGCCGGACGCACCATCCTCGAGCGGGTACGCAAAAAGTCCACATCTGCTCACTTCCTGCACACTTGAAGGGCTTCATAACGTTGCTATCAACCGAAGATTCTGCGACAAGCGCTGTGCACAATCTTTTCAAATAAGAAAAGTGGGGGTCTGCGGACACCGTGATTTACTGAGGATCCGGGATGGGGGCTCAATTTCCTCGAGCGAGCACGCGCGAAACGCATTTCCTTTAAATAAAATCAGGTCTTACCTATCTTCTTAATCAAGCGAACATTTGCCGGCCCACTTCGAACTGGCACCGGGGAGAACTTTACCTGCAGAAATGAAACACTGGGCCGACGCGCTTCCCGGGAAAAGGAATTGCATTGGGAAACAGGGGCCCAACAAAAAGCAGAGCAGATGTCCTTCTCCTCCTTTTCCTCCTCCTCCTACCCCTCCACCTCCTCTTCGATATTTTTCTTCGTCGTCGTCCTCGTCGTCGCCGTCGTCCTCCTTCTGCTCTTCGTCGTCGTCCTCCTCCTCCGCCTCCTCCTCCTGGCTATTCCTCGTTGTCCCCCCCGTCGTCCTTATCCCCCTCCTCATGTTGTTCCCCCTCGTCCTCCTCGTATTCATTGTATTTTCCCTCCTCCTCCTCCTCCTCCTCCTCGTCCTCCTCGTTCTCTTCCTCATTCCCATAAGTCTTCGTACGCTGTGCAGTTGCGTACTGGCTTCGGGCCCCCTCTGCGCCCCTTTTTGGAACCTGCTCCAAGGTTTCCCCGGGCCCCAGTGGGCGCCCCCCCATGAACCTCGGTGGGACCCCGACAGGTCCCCAAGCGCGGTGTGCAATTGCACACGGTAATCGGGAGCCTCTTGGGTTGTGGGGCACTGTTGAGACTCGCTTTCGTGCCCTTGCGGCCAAATAAAAACTGGCGTTGCCAGAAAACCCCAAAAAACCCTCAGTGGGTCCCAAATCCCCCAAGGGCCCGCCGTGCGCGGGGTTATGCCGTGCCCTCCTCTGGAACTTGATTGGGGGGCCTTGCTGGTGTCCCTCCTCCCCGCTTCTGCTCGAACGTGCCGCTGTTGTGCCCCTTCCTCCTTTTTCCAAGGAACCAAATGGCACCACTAGAAACAATCGGAAATCAGCGCTGATTTCCTGGATCGGCGCTGGACCTGCCCCCCGGTGCGCGCGGAACGCGCCACGGGCGGCGCCAGACGCGCCATGAATGGGGTCCATTGCAAGTCCACGAAAGCTGCGTAGATCTCCGAAAGTTCATGCTAATACAATTCTGGGGTTCCCCGATCACCTCCTCTCTTCTTCTACGTCCCCGCCTGGCGCCCGCTGAGCCAACCGACCTGCCTAGCGGCTCCGACCAGCCAAAGAATATCCGACAGTGGAGCCCCAGACCGCTCGATCGGAGCTGGGGTGGGTGCCCGGACCGCTCAAATGGAGGCGCGGGGGAAAAGGACGCGGGAGGAGGTGGGAAGAGGAGGGGGAGGAGGGGGAGAAGGGGGATGGGGGAGGAGGGGGAGGGAGGGGAGGAGGAGGACGAGGATGAGAAAGAAGAGCTATGGAGCCATGGAGAACAGAGAAGCGAACCCGCGCGAGAGGACTGCCTCGCAAAAGGGCACTCACTGCCTCATCGCAAAACGGGCCACCCTCCGCCACCACAGGGGGCGACGTCCCTCCTCACGTGAAGAAGAGGCCGCTCGCTCATCAGCGAGGAGCTCACGCATCACGGCCGAGGTACAGGTCAGCGCCTTGTCGCCCCGCGGTTCGCTACTCATACGTGATGGCGGTGGTGCGTAAGGGGGGGGGCGGTCGGTTCACCTCCTCACGGCGAGGTCCGTCCCAACTATCAGCACCTGCCAAAACATCTGACACGTGAAATGGGTTGGTACCCCAGGGCGTGTAGGCGCGAAGGCCCCATGGAACTTATGGACCACATGGCCCCACCAATCCATCAAATGCACGATCCACGCTCCTGGAAGCTCAAGGTGGCTCCAGCGTCGTCACGGTCGCGCGGAAACGAAGGCGAAGGCGAAGCCGGAGGCGGAGGCGGAGGAGGAGAAGGAATAGGAGGGGGAGGAGGAGGAGGAGGAGGAGGAGGAGGAGGAGGAGGAGGAGGAGGAGGAGGAGGAGGAGGAGGAGGAGAGGGGAAGGAGGAGGAGGGGAGGAGGGGAGGAGGAGGAGGAGGTGGAGGAGGGGGGGAGGAGGAGGAGGAGGAAAATGAGAGGAGGAGGAGGAGGAACGTGAGGAGGACGGGAAGAAGAACAACGTTACAGGCGCTCGAAAGCGCTCAGCAACCTGCGCATGAAAAAGAGAAGGCGCACGAATATTCGGCGCGAGCGGTTTGCAGGCGCCGTGGCCTAGGAGAGGGGCTGCACCCCCGCTGTATGACGACAACAAGCGCAACCAACACTGCATGGCCCTTCATGAGACCAACGGCAACCGTGTAGAATTCTGGGGGGGCGGCCGCGATCATTCGTACATCGCGCTGCGCCCGCGCTCCCAGGGCCGCGATCCCTTGTGAATTGCAATGCCTCCGCGCTCCCAGGGCCAGATCCCCCGTACGTTACGCCGGGTTCGGGCTCCCAACGCAACGATCCCTTGTAAATTACGCTGGGGTCACGCTCCCGGGGCCACGATCCCGCGTACATTAAATGTAGTTCACGCTGTAAGGGCCACGGCCCCGCGTCATTTACGCTGCGTCCGCGCCACCAACGCAGCGATCTATTGCGAATTGCTCTACCTCTGCGCTCCCAGGACAACGATCCCTAGTACATTACGCTGGGTGCACGATGGGTGCGTGCTCCCAAGGCTACGATCCATAGTAATCCAAGCTGTATTCACGCTCCCAGGGCCAGCTGCGTCCGCGCTCCCAGAGCCAGGATCCGTTGCAAATTGCGCTGCATCCACGGTCCCAGGGCCACCGTCAGTTGTAAATTATATTGAACTCGCGCTTCAAGGGCCGCGATCCATCCTAAAACACGTTAAGTTCGCGCTCACAAGGCCACAGCCACAGCCCATAGTGCTCCGCGCTCCCAAGCCCACGATCCCTCTCAAACTATGCTGCGTCAGCGTTCCCAAAGTCACGAAGCACCGCGCGGAGGTTGCCCAAAAGGGCACCCGAGGTTGCCCACAAGGGCAGCCTCCTCTCCAGAGCAGAAACTAATACGTTTCTGCAGTGGGATCTGTTTCCAGGGGCGCGTTGAAGCCCCCCCCGCCTGTTTTTTGAAAATCAAGCGCTGGATCCGAAGAACCGAATCCTTACAAATAACGCTGCGTCTGCGCGCCCAAGGCCGCGATCCCTCGCGCATACGCTGGATTCGCGCTCTCAAAGCCACGGCCTCTTGCAAATCACACAAACTTCGCGCTCCCAGGGCTGCGATCCCATGCAACTTGTTTAGGATTCGCGCATCCAGGACCGCGATCGGTCGTAAATCCGCCGGCCCCCCTGTGGGGCCACCAGGCTGTAGGGCGAAGGTTCGCAGTCCCCTGTACCAGTTGCAGCTTCCAGTTTCCACTGTTACAGTTCTGCTTCTTGCTGCTTACTGTTCCTTGCTACAGTGAGGCTTCTTGCTGCTGACTGTTTCTTGTTGATGGACCGCGCGAGGGGGGGAGGCCCAAAACGGGCATTTTTACTACGGCCAAAAATGTAGTGTCTGAAGTGCTGGGGTGGGTAAAAATTAGCACCCCTCCTGCAGATCGGCGGGGTCAGGGTGCAACAACACAAGGGACTTGCCACATTTCTGAAATTCGGTGGCACCCCTCACACAGATCGGCGGGGTCAGGGTCCAAAAACATATAGGATTTGCCACCTTTTCTAAAATTTGCTGGCATCCCTCGCGTGGATCGGCGGAGTCAGGGTACAAAAACACATGGGATTTGCCACATTGCTTAAATTCGGTGGCACCCCTCGCGCAGATCGGCGAGGTCAGGGTCCAAAAACACAAGGGATTTGCAACTTTGCTTAAATTCGGTGGCACCCCTCACGCAGATCGGCGGGGTCAGGGTCCAAAAACACAAGGGATTTGTCACCTTTCT